TATGTATAAGAGAAATAATTTTCATTATTGTAGTAGACATAATCTATTTCTAGCCCATGTTTGGTCTATTTGAAGAAAGAATTGTCGGTCCATTTTTCTGCCATAGTTCTTTAAACGGGCCCCCCGTTTCATTAATTTATTAACAAGAGTGTTGGAAGAGTTTATTGATGATCTTGATCTGGAAACTCGTTAGATGATCTATTTTCAGCAGGATGGAGCATCAGCACATAATTACATAATTTCAGTGGCGTAAAAAGAATGTTGCGAGACTGTTTTGGAAACAGGTGGATTGCTACAAATGGTTCTGAGAAGTAGACTTCTCGTTCACAAGACACGACACCTTTAGATTTTTATTTTTGATAATATCAGAAAAATGAGGTTTACAAAATAAACCATGATAATGTAGATGAACTGAAAAATTATATTCAAACTATAATTAATAGAATTGATGGCCGTAGTGTCAGAAGAAAGGCCCAAATATGTGTTCAACAAAACGGCGGTGTTTTTGAATATTTACTCGATATTTTATAGCTATTTATTCGCCAAAACAAAGAAATTTTTCGTACCAGTGAAAAAAATAAATATTTACAGAGAATTCACTCATTTTCAACCTCAACAAGAAAGGTGATATGAGCCTTGACATTTTTTTATTGTTTTTGGCATCGAGAATGCCCTTAAAAATGCCACTACCCTGTATAAAGAGGCAATAGAGATTCATAAACACAGAGATGATTTAAATAGAAAATAAGAGGCAATTAATAAAATCTGGCTACCTGTCCTTACAGGTACACAATCAAGCTCAGGTAATCCCATTAAGAGAAACCAAGCCACGCCCACTAATAATAATATAAAACCAAACTATCGCAGTTAGCATCATAGTTACCGCGTTCGAAACAGGAATAACAACTTGAGCACCAACTCGAGCACTACGACCGGTAACACAACGCCTTTAATGATGTCTACCGCAGTAGTAGACGAAACGTCTGACATAAAATCTACAGACCATTGCCAAAAAACCCGGAAAATAGCTTTCACACAATGTACATGGTCGTTTATTCATGGAACGAATAGGATAAGTAAAATTTCGACTTTTATCTCGTAATTTCGACTTTTATTTCGTAATTTCGACTTTTATCTCGTAATTTCGACTTTTATCTCGTAATTTCGACTTTTATCTCGTAATTTCAACTTTCATCTCATAATTTCGACATTCATCTCATAATTTCGACTTTTATCTCGTAATTTCGACTTTTATCTCGTAATTTCGACTTTTATGTCGTAATTTCGACTTTTATCTCGTAATTTCGACTTTTTTCTCGTAATTTCGACTTTTATCTCGTAATTTCGACTTTCATCTTGAAATTTCGACTTTCATCTGGAAATTTTAAGTCAAAAGTAGAAATATGGTTCCTTGAGTGCTTTATAATTTACTACGGGGTGATGTTAACAGGAGGTTAGTGAAATTGTTGTGTGATTGAAATTTCAATGGAAATATGTGGTTGAAAGTGGGATCAACCTCAAGCGACCCTAAGGTTAGAAATAATCATTAACTCATCTTCACACTCGAAAAAATTTGTAATTTTAAAGATCATATCATCGTCACATTCGTCATGATCAAAACAATAGAATTGAATAATACAAATTGATTTCCCTCTGATGTTCGTTTAGCTGCCGATTCAAATTTTTTCAAATGAATTCAAATTTTCCAGGTAATTGGAGAATTTCTTAAAAGGAGGATGTCCCAGAACTTTACGAACCGATATGGGCACTGAAAATGAAGTAATGGAGAGGATACAAAAAGCCTTTCGTGAAGTATTTACTGAATCAACAACTCGATCATGTTTTTTGTATGGAAAAAGCATGCACAATCAAATGATAGAATCTTGGTGGTCTATATTACATAAACATAATGCACAATACTGGATGAATTTATTTCAAACCGTAATATAAGACAATTTATTTGATGCATCATTTTTGGCCAAGTCTCTAGTTCAATTTTGTTTCATACCATTAGTACAAGTAAGAGATAAGTTCTTGTTGATGAAATTTTAATTATAATTTTCATTTCAGAGTGATCTTGAGCAAGTAGGTATCTTTTGAATATACTATTCATAGAATACGGAAAACAGGGAGATTCCAGCAGGGAGACCAAGTAGTATATTGTATGCGATGCCTTCCCTTTATGGAGTTACAGATCACCTCATCAAGATTCCATCATTCGCTTTCAAACATTTTTCGTCGAAGTGTACATATCCCTGGACAGCCTGTGATGAAGATTTTCGGAAATTTTGTTCAATTTTTATAAAAAAAATAATTACACAAGGTCCTTAGATCCTTTTGCCACAATTGATTTAAACATTAACCTGAGAAGTGAATTAATTATGTTATTTCAATAAATTTTAGATTGATAATTATGCATTGATATTATTCAGTACCTTTTTGAAGAAGTATATGCTTTTCGCACGAGTAAGAGAAAGTCGACTTTGGCCAAAATATTAGAGTCTCATCATAGTAAATCAATCTGATCAATAATAACCTTACTTCATTATCAAAACTTATCTAAAATTCAGTTTTTCACTACAACAGAAATTACGAGATAAAAGTCGAAATTACGAAATGAAAGTCGAAATTACGAGATAAAGGTCGAAATTTTGACTTTTAAGTCGAAATTATGGTGGATCAAATAAACAAATAATCTTTGGCCCTTCTACGCTTCCGTAGATCTCGCCTTTAAACGTGTGATACCTACACGGAAAAGCGTAAAGGATCAACAACGTAAAACAAACATTGAATTACTTACTCAGCATGTTAACAACTCTTTTCTGAGCTGCATTATTGGCGCTGGCACTCTTCCTCCCAAATTCCTCAGCTTCGCCCTTCCTTACAGAAGACCTAGATCTAACAGGACCGATATTCTTCGATTTCCACAGCTGTATCCCAATCAGCACGTACAGGACGGTAATCAAAATCATCGGTCCGACGAAAATAATGAAAGTTGATATCTCAAAAGCATGCTCAACAAAATTGTTGATAACTGTGCAATGACTGACGAGCACCCCATTCTCAATTTCCTCGCTAACCCCAAATTGAATAGCCTGGGGTATGGCCAGACCCAAGGAAATGATCCAGGTAGCTATGATGATGCGCACAGCTCTGCTTGGTTTGGACCATGTGTGTGCAATGAAGGGGTGGCAAATGGCTACATACCGCTCCACAGTAAATGCAGTGATTGTGAGTACTGTGGCGTTGGCTGAGGTTTCTGCAGTCAGGCCCTGTATCATGCAAGTGGCTTCGCCGAAGATATAGTGATCGGGAGACCAGATCCTGTACATCTCAGGAGGTAGCCCAGACACCAGCAGGAGCATGTCGGAACACGCCAGACTGAACAGGTAGTAGTTGGTGGCGGTTTGCATCGGTTTGTTTTTGGCAATGACCACGCAAGTGCTGATGTTTCCGATGACCCCGACGATGAAGATGATCACGTAGATTATGGTGAAGGGTAGTACGATCTCGAAAGGGTAGAGATCGATTGTTCCCGAGCTGTTGGTTGAATCATTGATGGAGTACACTGTGGTGAAGTTCTGGAGGGTAAAGTCTGTGAGATTTATTATCTCTATGGCTGAGAGCGAACTCATTTTTGTTAAAGTCACTGAAATCACACCGGCGGAATTTTCAACTCGTTCAATGGCATTGATTCGTTCACAGTTTTTTTACAAGGTTTGAACATCGCGATTATATTCAAATCGAGCGACAGAGTAACGGTTGCAACTTCCACCACGCGACGTTGTTGTTAAAAATGAATTAAACTGGATTGTTTCGCGGTTGTTATTTTTGATTCGCGTGCTATCGAAAGCTCCGCTGTTGCCAAAGTGCTAAATTTAGCTGGAGGCTGGAGAATGTTATACGGAGCTTTTATATGTGACAAGAGGCAATTACCGTCACTGATGATGTGGATGGTATTTGAAGTTATAGTTATTTAAATAAAGATACAGTAGATAATGACTATTGAATTCTTTTTGTTTCTAGTATTGGTATTTCCGTTTATTGTTCCGATATGTTGCAGAAAAAAAATGTTGGCTGCTTATGTAAAGAAGGGGAGTTTCTTGAGAAACACCGAATGTTACATTTCTTCTCTTGCTGATACCGACATAAAATGAAACTTGCTGCCTATCACTCAAATAAGTTTTTTGTAGAAAAATATCATATGGATAGTAATAAAAACCTCAGACAGATTTACACCTGGCATTTATTGCATCACATATTCTTGCTGTGAAAAATAGTTTTTTTTTAATGTATCCACTATCCCGATTTTTATTTCTGCTTTTTTTTTCAAGTAATTCAGCTATATTAATTTACCTTTAGCAAAATAGGTTAACTATTTCCAATTTTTACGAGTTGGGAAAATAACCATTTACAAGATATATGTTTGTTACGGAATCAGTTCTTATACCATACACTACAGAAGCTTTTCGATTAACTTGTTTAAAACAGAAACAATATGCTCTCATTAGTTATGATATAATATTATTTGAAATCTCTAAATCTGTTTAAAAAAAATCTGTTTAAAATCTGTTTTTCCGTTAATCAGCTGCCGCCCCCATACGAACGACAACTCTCAGAAGTTGAGAAACTTGTGCGAGCTAAGGACTAACGAGGTCTTACCTTTTAACGTGTGATTCCTAACACGAACAAATAAAATTTAAAATTCAAGTGGATAACTGAAAATAACAATTATATTAAGCAAAAAAAAAACAAAAATAAGCAGAAAAATCGAAATAAAAATTAAAAGATGTCAAGCCAAATAACTTCACGACGTTTCGTTATGTAGTATCCGCAATCGTTTTCGGGTGATGACTGTAAAATGAATAGCTGAAAATAATTATTATATTAAGCAAAAAACCCTTAAATGAAACGACAATTGAATAAAAAATTAAAAACAAGCAAAAATTCAAAAATTGAACAATTAAAATGAAACTAAATTTGAAAGATGTCAAGTCAAGTAACTTCTCGACGTTTCGTTATGTAGTATCCACAATCGTCTTCGGGTGATGACTGTAAAATGAATAGCTGAAAATAACAATTATATTAAGCAAAAAACGCTTGAATGAAATGACAATTGAATAAAAATCAACAACAAGCAAAAAATTCCAAAATTAAAATTAAAAAATTCCAAACCAAGTACTTCACGACGTTTCGATTGTTAGTATCCACAATCGGCGTAGGATAGTGACTGTAAAATGAATATCTGAAAATAACAATCATATTGAGCAAAAAACCCTGAAATAAAATGACAATGAAATAAAAAGGAAAAACAAGCAAAAAATCGAGAATTGAATAATTAAAATGAAATAAAAATTGAAAGATTTTGAGCTAAATTAATTCATGATTTTGCGATACTTGCAATAGTGTTCAGGTCATCACTTTTAATATCCAAAATTCACCATGAAACAATGTCAACCACATTCAAACAAACATATGTATATTTTCATATTATTTTTATTATCGTCGAAACTCGAAATTTCGAGTTGGAAGTCCAAATTTCGAGATTATTCTCGAATTAATCTTGTTATTTCGAGAATAAAGTTGAAATTTTGAGATTAAAGTTGAAATATCGAGATCAAATTCGAAATTACGAGATTGAAGTCAAAATTTTCGAGTTTAAATTGGTCACAATTTTTAGTTTGTGTGAGTTTTTGCCTAGTCCTGATTGGCAAACGTTCTATCGGTGATTAAGTTACTGAAATGTTTGAAAAGATGGTAGTCTGTTGACAAGAAGTCTTGGGAGTATGCTGGGTGAGGCCGAACTTTGACGCCCCATTTGTTTAATTTTCAGACGGTGGTTTTTCGAACGTGCAAACTGGCATTGCCGTGGAGCAGTATCGAAACTCTTCGGTTGACCGGTGCTGGCTCTTGCTGACGCAATTTTTTGTACATTTCGTCGATTTCCTCACGATAGGACTCTGCTGTGATGCTATGACACAGGTGCTGATAATTATAGTGACCACCATACAGTAACCATGGTCTTTTTTGGTGGGTTTTCGCATTTGAGAAATGCTTAGGTGGCTCATCAACCTCTCCAAAATCTATACTGAATTTTGTGCGCAGAATTTCTTATCTATATTCCACCAGGCTCAACTTGGCATCGCTGTAAAAATAGTTTTCTCCCATGAAGAAGTTCGAGGCAATTAGTTTTTTGATTTAAAATCATAATAATATAAACGTTATTAATCGCACATCATAATATTAGGTACCCCTTCTCTTCGAAAAAAATATATCAATTCGTCGAGGAAAGAGCTAATAAGCAAGTACATAGCTTGTTACATACAAGGTTGGATTCCCAATTAGATAAAAATATCAGAACACTAATGACAAAAGATAAAACATTTGCCCGTGTAGTCACTATATGAATTGTTTTCCGATAAGATTGTCCGTGAGTAGTAGTTTATAAAAATATCAATTGGTTTGTCAGTCAACAAGTTTGTAATAATGAGACATGTATGTGTCAGTGGTCATTAAGTTGACTACAAAGTACTGTAATTTTTCAGTAATTGCAAAAAGAAAGTATATTGTTATGGATAACGCTTCGTATCATTCTCGGTTATTGACTACAATACCAAACAAAAACACAAAAAAGCAGATATTATTGATTTCATGCGAAATCATGACATGGAAATACCCGAAAAGATCCAAAGAAAAAGGTATCACTGGCGACCATAAAACAACGTAATTTCAAATTATTCGATGTGTGAAACACGTGGTCATATTCTCTTACGTTTGCCTCCATACTATTGTGTGTTCAATCCAATTGAAATGCTTTGGGCCATAATGAAAGAAAGCTCGCGGAAATGTAATCAGTCACTGATTTTGAATGCTGTAGTGCTTTACATTATAAGGCGAGTGGTGAATGAAATAGGTAATAGTGATGTGTGGAAGAACTGTGTGGCCCACGTTATAAAAGAAGAGAACTAATATTATGTGCAAAGTTCCATAAATCCGATCGTTATTCAACCCGATGATGATTCCACCTCATCCGAATATAGCGAAGAAGAATTTTGATTTTTCTAGCAATTTTGTTGGCTTCTATTATTTTGTATATATATGTTTGACGAGAGTTCGGTGTGATTATTTGTGTTTTCACTGTATTTTAGAGTTTTCGACTCGGAAATCAACTACCTTAAATTTCGAAGTTTTTCGTAATTACCCATGGTGGAAAAATTCAGTTGAGATAACTTTTCCATGGGGTGATCAATTGCTATGATTGTAAAAATAAGTAACTGAAAAACTACCACTAAAAAATAAAATATGCCGACGCCTATGTCGAGGCGGGAATTCCTTCTCTGTGCTGTTCCAATTGGTATTGGAAATACTATATCTGTTTCATTTAAGCTCGCCTTCGCCACATTTTAAAACAAATTAGTTATAGACGCAACTGAGAAGTCGAAGTGATCTAGTAAAGTGATTTTTGAGTCTAAAGAGTGTTATTGACAATTGTTAACAAATCAAAAGCAGTAAATTGGTACAGTACTAGTATCAGGAAAACTCATGGGGTCAAATTTCCCTTCGACCAGATATTCTTTTCGCGAGAATGTATCTTGTTGAGGTGGGTTGATTGTGCTACGTTGCATGGCTGACAATACTGCGAAGTATCGTCAGCCATGCAAGTATCGTCACTCCCCAGTAGTAAGTATACTACTGGGGAGTGTTTTTATTCCGCACTTCAACTCAACAGAACACGGAAAACAAATTATCAGAAAAAGTTAACTCATCCGGAACTATCTGAGTGTCCCTGTTCATGTATTCATGGTTATTGTATTCAGATAATCGATTTGGAATACGCAGTCATCTAACTAACTCTACAGAGTCATAGCATAGATAACAATACAGTGTCACAGAGCAGAAAGTCCAAAATATATTTTTTTCTTCGTAGTAAATAAAAATGTGTCACTCTCCAATTGTTTGTTGGGATATTTTCTTTTCAAAGTTCTTTCTTTGCAGATCGAAGGTATGATTTTGATGTCTGGATTCTGAGTAATTCCTCTGAGTAATTCCTCTGGGCATTCCTCAATGTGCTTGTCAAGTCATGGTTTGAAATTCCCGGTACTGTGCAAATCAAATCTAAATCGCTACTTTCGCACAGACACCGCAATCAGAGCCTTTCGAACATTTTCCGATAGTGCTTGTGCAGCTCCATAAAAAATATTCACGTTCAATTGGGTTGCATATATTGAAACCATTGTATATAGACTAAACCTATATACAAAGTTGAAACTGTATCAAGAAAAACGTAATATCTATAGAATAGTTGAAGACGATTTGATGCGCCACCTATCAACAAAAACTACATCCATCACAAGATGTATAGAAGTGCCAGGGTGGATAGAAAGTCTTTACATTGTCTAAGGATTTATTAGACAATAATGGTCTTTATACAAAGGTAAAATATTTTGTCGAAAACACTCGATATACGGCAATCTTGATTCTTTATAAAAAAGAGATCCAATGTGCTTCGGCATACCATTCACAGAGGCGCTAAGCGCACACCAACGTTTACAGTTGGAAACGATTCTTCTTCTTCCATCTATCGACATATGTACCAAGTTGGATCCATATCATTTCTAGCGTCGAGAGATTTTGACAAAACAAAAGCGAATCAGAAAAAATTACAGCTTTGCTATAAAAAGATAATAATAAGGTTTTTATGCAACATTATCTGTCATTATCATGAATCTACTCTATAAGCAAAATGGAAAATAAGTGTTCAAAGTAAGATGTCCATACCGTGCTAGATTCTGGCATTGTCTAAGGATTTATTCTGGGATACGCTTTTGTTTCAAAAATTGTAGTACACCATGTGGGGAAGTTCTGAAATTGCCGCAAGATGGTGACAAAATCAACATTTCTATTTATTTCAGTCTTTTGTCATCAGTTTTTAACCTTTAATAAACGTATCACAGTATACTATAATATATTTTTTAGATCATCGCAAAAACCTCGTTGACAAATACCTAATTCTGTTAACTTTGAAAAACTATCTTTGCTAGTAGGCAATATATTTGGTTTGTTTTTCGCTGTTTGGATACTTTTACTGGATAAAATAAGACGATATTTTATGTGTTGGTGTTACAAAATCGATCGAATTGGAATTGGCCGATACTTGATGAAAATCTATAACTTATTCAAGGGCTTTATAGTGTCCAAATGTTTGATGCTAGCTTGCAACTGAACAGTTGGAAACGATTATTGTTCCATCTATATGTACCATATGTACCAAGTTGGGTCCATACAATTGAAATTTCGCCTGAAAATGTAGAAACTAATTTGGTGACCAGAGTAGACAAGCCGAATTTTCAGAAAAACTAAAAAATGTATTTTCCTCGATAACCCCGGAGCACTCTCAATATCTATTATTAACTCCGTGAATATTATGAATAACCCCAAATTTAATGTTTGGCCTTGTGCAAAGATCATCATTAAAGTTTGTTTCAATAACACTCCAAACACTCATATATTGTTCCTTATAGATACTCTGTACTTTGTATTGAAGGTTCAATGTCCCCCACAGGATAAAACCAATAATTCCTTTGCAAATCTGTTCATTCCAAAGTACCTATTGAGCAATCTGTTCACAATTTGACAATTCATGATTAAGGTTTTGCTCAACCCTGTATGAAACATTACTCAACTGATTATCTGTGATAATTTTATCCTCAGCAAGTTCAATTGAATTCTAAACGTCAAAGAATTTGTTTACATAGAAATTTCCATCATCATTTTAGATAAAGTTAAGCTATGGTACTAAATATAGTAATTTACTTTGCATGGCAAATCACGCAATATATTATTTTCAACTCTTAATTGTTCCGACACCATCATAAAGGATACAATAACAAAAAATAAAATTTATTCAACAGTAAATCATTAGTGTAAAAATATGTTTCACAAAAATGGAAATTGTCATAATTTAGGCACAGTATTGTCATTTTTCTAACACCATTTCATAAAAGTTACATATCAATTTCATTCATCCCCATACCTCAGTGCTTTTCGTTGGCATCAAAAAACTTACGTTCACCTATAATTTTTGCTGAAAGACAACATCTGAAGCTTATTTTTCCATTCACAGAATCAGCAATCTGCTAAAATTTATAAGATGAACGTAGCCCAGTCGTTAACCACAAATCTGTCACAAAATAACGAGCAATAGAACTGGAGTCGATATAAACAGTGGCATCTCACTCGTCAATAATTAAAATAAAATGGTCTTGATATGTTCTTTGAAAATACATAACAATGAAATTGCACCTAGTTAAAATTCGATTATTCTTTTTTCCCTGTTGAGTTCTTCTGATTGTCTGTCTGTCCAACTGTCTGCTCTTTCGTTTTGTCCAAGTAGTTATATTTTATACACCTGGTGAGTTGCACCAATTGAGCACCCTCATTCGTAAAATGGCAAGCAAACAGCAGCATATTCCGTGGTTGAACTTTCAAAGCAAACCTCATGAACATTGCAGAATATAAACACAATGCTGGAAAATGGTGTTATGTAACATTTGAGTTGAAAATTATTCCGTTTGAACTTACCCACTGTCATCTTTCCACTTATAAATTTGGGATCTTTACTGATGTCTGCTATAGCGGCCAATGGAATGCCCCAATTTGCTACAGGCCCCCAAAAGTGTGTGCTATGAGTGAAAATTAATGAGATACTAAACTTCCAAGTTAATAAGAACATACCTCATCAAATAACTCCTGAATTCAGGGGATTTCAACTGATCCACCAGTTTCTTTCCCAAAGAAGACATTTTTGTTCAATGTGTGTAATATCTGATCAAAAATGATAGGAACTTTTATAGATTTGACTACTTCTTTTCGATTTGTCCTATTGTCTTATTAGAAACACTAATGAGCACTTAATACAACCTGACAGTCCTGACATATGCTATGTATATATTTAAACAAATTGACATAATGAATAAAAATTCATAATTTATTTTTTAACGTTCCGTATTTGACCTTGGGAGTTCTTGGACCGACTTCACAAGTAGGTGGTTTGTGACCGACTTGTTCAACGACCTTAAAACGAATGATGCCAACCAAACACTAAGGAAATTTTCAATTAAATTCCTCAAAATTCCCCAACACATTTGAAAATTTTCCATTAATGGATGATACCCAACGTTACCATATTAATGTAGTAGATTCTATAAATCTTCAGATTCGCGTTTTTCTATTACGATTTCTATAACGGAATAACCATTCCGTCAAATTTATTCACTTTGGTTTCTCTTCCAGGCGCTACTTTCGCTTAAACGACGAATTCTTTGCAATGGAGTTATAATGTAATATCATCCTTAACGATTCTTTGGTATAAATAATATTGGATATTTTACCAATGCAGGTTGGCTACCAAAAAATACCTCTAGTGTATAATTCAAATCTCAAAATAGTCGATGTTTTAGCATTTTTTCACGATTGTTGAATGCGCTTTTGTTATTAGTACCGTGATTAAGATATAAAATAAAATTGATAGAAAAGAAAAGGAGAGGTAATAAGAAAAGGGAAAGAACCAGGAGAAGGTTGGGATTTCTCAACATGCATAACTTGACGGGAATTCTGAGTTGTTTGAAATCTGTAAAAAAAGTTTATTTCCCCCAAGTAAAAGAACAGTCCTGAACAGTCCACAAATTTTGAAGTGACAATTTTACAAAATTCCCAACTTTTCGCTGTTTTTTCGACTTGGAAAAGTTGGGAAATTTCGGGTCGTGAAGACAGAAAAAAAAAATAGTAGAAAACAATAAGCACAATATTATTTAAGTGTTGTTTCCTTTCATTTGTATTGAATATTCCTATACATGGTGGATATGGAGGGAGACCAATGACCTTCATTATTATTTTTATAATCACCAAAATTTATTTTTGTTTGTGCATACCCTAACGGGCATAAGCATTCAGCCAATATTTGGATAACTAAGTAAGAAAATTAATACATAATAGTAGTAACTAATCCCTAGGCTTTCATTTCTTCGAAAGATGGGAAAATTTACTGGTGGAATTGGGAAAATTTGGATACCCTTCCCCCTGGTTTTTCTTTTCGCTACGGCCCTGATGGTAAGTAATTAAAAATAAGTGTATCCTTTCAAATATTAGACTGATGATATTTTATTCCCGTAACATACACCCAACAACAAAGATCAATACTTCCTTATAAGTAGTGGAAATAGTACAATTTTCACTACTAGAACTACCGGATTGTTATTTTTGGTAACGAAAGATATAAATAATATCTATTTGAAGAAAATGCCATGCAGGATAATCATTTATTGTTCAGGTAGAATAGGTTTAACATATAGTGTTCACATAAAGTCTATAGAGTAATATTATTCCTTCTTGTTACCGTTAAGAAAATTCGTTTCTCGTTCTGTATCACATAAATTTGCGGTAGTGTAGCTATTGTTATCGTTACTTGAATCAGACGAATGGTTATTGCTTGATACAGAAAAAAAATCATCATCGCTTAATTGATCAGACATTCTTCTGGGATCATTGAAGCCAACAGTTTCAGATTCTTTGAAACGTTCATTAGCCTGCTTTGTTGAAAACTTAGTTGTAGTTTTCTTCCGTTGTTCATTTCTTTCATCTTCTATATCAGGATTATCTGTATCACTACTGGCTTTCGATTTAATTATTACTGTCGTATTGGGTTCATTATTTCTGTCACTCATTATTCAAATGCTACTTTTTACTGTCGACTGGACATTTCAAAAAATATCGCCAAGAAAATGTCAACATTTATTCAAGAAACTTGCTGCAAGATGGCGTCAATAGAAAACTGAGGGAAATACACCAATGAAATATTTCGTGTATTGACGAGTATGTTGTTAGAAGTGATCACAACGAAAACAGATTGATTTCCATTTGTTCCCTATTTTCGAATCTACTGGAAAGGTATGCGTTTTCTGAACACATTTCACACTGGATCAATAGATATAGATCCATTGGATTCATTGTTGTTCTTAAATTGGAAAATTGTTCTCCTACCGTTATGGTTTTATTAATACTTGCCAGCCAATTTTGCGACTGTAAATCTCTATTATCTTAGATAATGAAACTGTAGAATTAGTGAATGGAATTGTAAAAAGAAACAGTCCCGTTACTTACGAAAGATACCGAAGAAGTTCAGAAATGTGACTTCGATATTTTGTGTATTATATCATATTGTAACATGATTGTAGAATCTATTAAAGTATGTTCAGAAGTATATCAGTTTCGAACAAGTTGCAGAATCGAATAAAAATGAAAAAATTCATATTAATTTCCTATAACTCTTCATGTCATGAAGATTTGAAAAATCTGAAAAGGATTCAGGGATTAGCTACACGGTCCATTTCATCACCAGAAATGAAAAAACTTCAAATGCAAAAGTTGTGTTAAAAACCATGTGAAAGAAATGTTTATTTTTTAGCCCAGTTTTTTTCTCTCTACGTATCTGACACCTGACATACCATTCTCTGATTCTTCTTTTGACAATATGAGACCTTCGATCACATAAAGTTCTGTGCTGGAGCCGACTGTACCATATTTCATTTGACAAAATAGACATTTCGTGTTGTACGGTTGGCTACATTAGTAAACACCAACTCTGCGTTCCACTAAGCGTTCACAACGGTCACGATCACAACCGCAGATTTTCCCGTTCCACTTGCTTGCGAGCGTCACTGTCGTAAACTCAAGTGGAACTGATTATGTTTTGATTGTTTATGTGAACTTTACAAATGGCAAGGTTGAAAAAATAACAATAAGTTTCAATAATTGAAAGCTAACTTTATTCATATTGAAAAAGAGGTATTATTTAAATTTTTATATCTAATTTAAGTAAAGTTTTTGAACAAATTGAGTTTGAATCAATCAAAATGTATTTTACGGTGAGTGGATATTTGCTGATGGGTCGCAATAGTGCTCCAGAAACTAATTCATCTAGTTCAGATCAAGAGTGGAATGCAACTTCACAAAAGTATAATCTTGACAAACATATTATTGATTTCAAGAGTGTAATTCATCATTATCCAGATGAAGAACTCAAAAGTCATTTCAGTTACATGATTTTCTTACACAAATTACATTGTAGATTTCAAAATGTCATGTCTAATTGCACACCCAGATTATACTCTAAATTTATACTTCTCCTAAATCCACTTCATTATGTGTACGTAATTATTCCATTGATTAACTCAAGCGGTTGAGTTACAGTTAATATCTGTCATATTTCAAAAATTGCCCCGAAATATTCCTAACGTCCATTTTGACCCACCTCTTCAGATGGATCATTGTGAGCGAAAGTACGGACGTCATGAGTGACGTTTACGCCGCGACCACAACGACCGTGGTCGTTACATATAACCGCTAAAAGGAACATTTTGATCGTTGTGAGCGCTTAGTGGAACCGAACCTCAGATTACTCTGAGAGTGGAACGCATGGCAAATGTCTTGTGTATGTGTGAGCGCGCGCGCGCATTTCGTATGTGCACGCGTGTGGTGTGCGTTTGTGTGTAAGCGCGCGCACTCGTGTATGTGGGCCCATGTGCGCGTGCGAGACCTGAAATATTGATGTCCATAAATAAAATGAAGTAAAGTTTCAAGTTTACTTAAAAAAAAACTAGCACTAAGATTAAGTTGATGCAAATATCATGAAAAGAAAAACAACAGATTTTTCTCAACTTTTATGTAATAAAACTACATAGTCTTCAAATTCTGAGTAACGCATGTACAATAAAACAACTTTGCTTGCAACCTTTCCCATGCCACACTCTGGCAGCTCCGGATGTTTGGCAAATAGTCTCTCAACACCTTTTCTTGGGCAATAACACTTCCATGGGCCTTCAAGAACACACTCATATAAGCTTCCCCCAGTTCTAAGTCCTTATTTGATTTGAGAATAAACTCTAAACACTTCAAAAACTGTAACATTACTTCTACAGAACCTCCTCCTTCGGGTGAAAGAGATTTTATTTCAAAGTCAGTCATCGATGGGCCGAACGTCTTCAGTTTATCAATAACGGCTTGGAAGTCATCATTTTGTCTAGAGCTGTCAAGTAACTTCCCAAACTCCGATAAATTTACAAAACTCAATGGGGTTATCAGTTTACTACCTTCACTGGATTCTGCCTTCACATCAAACTGGATATTATTCAAAGACGACACTGTGGGAAGGAAGAAAGGGGCAGCTTTTGGGGCCTTAGGAGGTTCCTTCGGTTTGTTCCTCCTTTTGATGATGTCGATATCAATGAGATTCTGCCATCTAGAAGTCGAAAGCCCCGAGAGAGTTATCAAATCTCCGCTGATTTGCTCCGGAGATATAAACTCATCATCTTCTTCTTCTTCTTTGACTTCCCCTTCTTCTATAGCCTCTTGCCGACACTCAGGTAAAGTAACAAGTGGCAGTTCGTCAGTGGGAGAGATAGCCCTCAGAGTTATTTTAGCATAGAGTGTCTTATTGGTCCATAGAAAAATCCCCAGGTGACCCACGTGAGCTGAGGCTAGAGCTTCGCCAGTAGGAGACATGTTGAGAGACACGCAAGCAGTGTCAAACATGAATTGGTCAACGAGTTGTCCAGAGGGTATGTCCCAAGTTCTGATGGTACAGTCCATAGATGAGGTGACTAGCCATCTTGAATCTGGGCTGAATGTCGCGTCTGTCAGTTGGCCTATGTGTCCGATGAATTTTCTAACAATTCTCCGGGTGTCATGGTCAATGATGTTGATGGAAAAGTCTTCTAAGGCAACGGCCAGCATTGAACTTTCTTGATGGGAGCGAAAGAAACTCACAGGTTCTTCTAGAGTAAGGATTGTCAAGGGATCTGTACCTGAAAGCAGAAGAGATTGTTAGAACTTGTAGCTTTCAATAAACTACCTGGACAAATAGAAAACTATGATAACTTCATGAAAGAAAATGGATTAATTATCAATTTTTTTATACTTAAACATTCTTCTTTGTTTGGTTACTAATTTTTGCTTTCTTTTCTCTTTGTACTTTTAATGTATATGTTTTCATGTGTTTTGGACAATCATATGATTATCATTTTTTCATAAACTAACATACCTATATGAATGGTCTCATACCAGCATAAGTGCTTTTTGACTATTCATACTATGATAGGAAATAGATGACTTTTAGGCAAGAACACTGTTGTTATTGAAAAACATTCTGTAATATTATGTTCTGTTATGCATTAATATGTAATATAATACAGAACAATATATATTGAAAAATATTTCATTGGAACTGTTTTCTGTTTGTTATCTAATCAATTTTTAAATTATGATTCAGCTCAGCTATGAATTGTGTTAGCTCAAGCTTTTTATTCTGACCAAATGTAATTGAGCTTCTTTGTTCTAAATGAGGGATCATCAAGTATTATCATATGCAGGTACCTTTGTTTTTAAACCTCCAAAATTTGATTAGGCTGTCACTGCTCCCAGTTATCACAATCTGGTTGAGACCATCAGTTGCTACTCCTCTCACATAACCGTCATGTGCTTTAGGATTGCCATACGAGTCTCTCCATATTCCGGATTGCATGTTAAACCTGAAAATAATTCAAAAATTGAAACTCTCTCTCAAGCTCAACTCCAGAAAACCAAAAAATCGAACGATTTTGGAAAAAAGATCGACAACATTTTTTTATGGCTTCTATATTCTCACCTATCTACATGCCCTGTGCTGTACCCAACAACCACAAAATTCCCGCAGTGTGTGAGACAAATGCTAGTAGCCACCACTTCCAAATTGACATCTAAATTCTTTTTCTGGAATCGTTCTGGCAACAACTTCAACTCTCCCATCCTCACTTTATCGTAGGACCAAGTCGTTACCATAGCAAGACCTGAATGGATGGCAGCAATGTTGTCCCACTCCTTTTCCCTAGTAGTTTCGGAAGTGAACTGAGTTATGGGGGGCATTTTTAGAGGATCTTGCACTGCTCTGCCGCGCTTCTTGCTAATTTTTCTATTGTAGGATGCTTTTCCCAGGCTCTTGTTGAACTGCTCGGTTTGGGTGTTAAATATCCTCAAGGTGGAATCATCAGCGCAGCTCAGAATGTTATGTCCATTAGCACCATGGAAACGAATAGAAGATGGAGCAGCAGCATGTCCTGAGATAATAGAATTAGTTCTTTAACTTTCAACAGAATGGAAGAACAGAGAAGTGATATTTTTAAATTTACTTATTCGTAGAACAAATTATGGTAAAAATGAGAAAATTCGTAGGATTTCAAAATCAATAAATTGCTATATATCGCCACGGCCTGTCAAAAATCTATGGCACATAAAATTCGGTGAGCATACGTATATCTGTAAAATTGATTGTGAATCGGTTTGTCTGTTGAAATAAATAAATGAATATAATAATGCTTCGATAACTGAAATAAGACCTACCCTCTCTGATTCTCAACAACCTAGCACCTCCATCTGTCATATCAAAAATCCACAATTTTAGGGTGTTATCAGGAGACGAAGTCAAAATCAAGGGTTCATTTGGAAGGCACACCATTCCTGTTACCGCACCATCATGGGCTGACAGCAACTGACTTGAAACTTTTCTTTCCTCCAAATCCCAAAATACAATATGCCCACAAACACTACCTGTAGCCATTATAGTGTGACCGTCTGATCTGAATGAAATAGATGTCACTAGACCCCAATCCTGTGTGAATTCTAAGATTGTTTCATCAAACTTGAGATTATGCAGAACTATCCTCCCTGTGCTCAGACCAACTGCCACTACATCAATTGCTGGAGCCTGTTCTAGACAAGTAACAGCTGCTCCCCAACTTTTGAAAGGATATATCAGTTTTAAAGTATTAATATTCCATAACTGCATTTCTCCATTGTCACTGGCAAACAGTATTTTGTTAATGTAAGTGCTGGGGTGTAGTAAAGCACTTATTTGAAAATTATCGGTACTAAATGTAAGTTCTCCATAGACAGCCTCATTTTTTATATCCCATATCTTCACTTTGCTACCTTTATCAACAGATATTAAATGCGCCCCGAAAGGTAACATGAGATGCACTCCCTTTGCATGGCCTCTGTAAGTATGTTGAAGTTCCGTTCCTCTTCGCCATGCATATATTACATTGTCACAGGCTGTATAAACGTGGTAGGCATCAGCAGTCATGCAGGTAATGTCACCAGAATGCAAACGGCTAACGCTTAGAAGCCCGAAATGAGTTATTCCGTATGTATGAAAAGATTTTCCAACACATGTTATGATTAAATTTTCTTGCCTGCTCTTTATATACCTTACTTGTAAAGGTATGTGATTGCTGACGTACCCCAGACTCCTACTGGGGATAAATATTTTACTTCCAGGCATATTTGGTCAATTCACAAAATTGAACATAACTAATAAAATGAAATTAACTTTAAAATCGAAAATAGCTTACTTTAGGTTATATTTACAAAATTATGAGGTTATATATAATATGACATGACTCCTTGAGGCAATGTTGCCATGCCAATGTGCAAAGTTAATTAATGCACCTGGGTTCAGCACCCTGATATTTACAACTTCAACCCTGATTGATTCTTATATTATACTGAAATTCCATAATAGTAGGCACTAAATTCTTAGAAATATTATTGCATTAAAACAAAAACATTGTTTTCAGTTTGTGATTCTATATATTTTTTGATCCAATATAATATATAATGATAACATACATAGAATCACAACAATGTTTTTGTTCTAATGCTAATATTGCTGAGAAATTAGTACTTACTATTATGGTATTTTAATACAGGTTGTTTCAAAAGTTTGGTCTGTTTTAAGGGCAGGTATTTTTGTAGCTCCATATCTCAATATATATCTATTCTACTTTGTCGTAAATATTATTATATATATAACAATGGCCATATAAATGGAGAAGAAGAAGACGTTCTATGTCCCTGAGTCCCTGGACTCCTGTGTCCTGGATCTGTGTCCTGGACGAAGCGTTTGTTTACATAACGGTCAGTTACTTACTCAGTTATGAATTTATGAACTGGAGACTGGACAGTAGCGCGTAAATAGAAATCGCCTTCTACATGAAGTGCAACGGCTTCAATTGTAAAAAAAACAGTCTGTTTATAGACTGAAATAAATAAAAAAACATGAAAGAAAAATGCAGATCAACTCCCAAAGAAGATCTCTCCAACCATGAAGAAGAATCTGGTGACGAGGGGGTATGTATCAACGTCTTCCATTACTTAATGATTGACTTATTTCTTTTTCCTAATTCATAGGATGAAACCTCCAGCATCGGTAGCACTTCAACTACCGACAACACATCAAGAAGTGCAACCCCAACAAATCGAAATCGGAAAGGTCGTAAACGCAAAAATCGTTTCAGCAATACCACCCCTAAAATTTTGAAACCAATATATAGATTTTCGTAAGTATTAATCGTACTCGGGTTAGCTAACTATCAGGGGATAGTTCATTCTCAATAAACAATTTTGTAACTATTTTGAAGGGTCCTATAAATGTATTTGAAGTATTCCTTCATTTATTCCTTGAAAGATACCTATTTATATAAGGGACTTCAACAGAAATGAAAAACAACAATAATTGATGTATAACAAAAAGATTTCTGTGTTTGGCACAATATAGGTCCTTAGGGCACACCGCATTGTAAAGAGCTTTTACTACCCTCGATTTTTATAAATTTTATATTCTGTAAAAATGAAGTTGTGTAGGTTCTAACACTTTCATGATATAGATGCAGTATTAAGGAGGACCACGGTCAACCACTATTTGGTGCACAATTCAACCACCACCTGAAAGAAGGACAACCATTTATTTTTGCAGCTGTTGGTAGTAACAGAGTAAGCATATACGAGTGTCCTGAAGGAAATGGAATCAAATTGACACAGTGCTATGCAGATCCAGATGTAAGTAGTTTATTTATTTCACGCCTCTTTGCCATGCTTATATTAAATTGGTTGCTGTTTTAATTCTTTATAATTATAGTACTGTATGCACGTGGCCTGTCCAAAAAAATAAGGTGAATGTGCAAATTTCGCAGGCTACATACATTCAATTTTTTTTATGTTGTAGACTCGTCTTGAACATATTTTCACAGTCCAAATGATTAAAAAAGGTAAAGCTTTCACATAATGTGCCCTGTTTTTGAATTTATTATTTGTTTCATATATCTATTTATATATTTCACCCTAATTATGTATTTTAGCCTTGAAAAAGGCGTAAATATACTTCGAAGCTGCGGCAGTTTTAAAAATTCTGGATTGACTTCCATTGCAGTGTTTATTCCCATTGTCTGTCTCTAAAATTTAGATTTATCATCTGGACCTTTCATTCTGTTTTTTCAGTTGATCTCCCTTTGAATTTACCAACATCATATCATATTTTTTGTTTATTTTTCGAACAGTAAAGCATATATTGACTTTTATTTTTTTCCCAGCTCGACGAAAACTTTTACACTTGTGCTTGGTCCTTTGAGGAGGAACAAGGAAAACCTCTGTTGGCAGTGGCTGGTTCCAGAGGGGTCATCCGTATTCTAAACCAAGCTACGATGAGTTGTGTCAGGCATTACATAGGCCACGGTCACGCTATAAATGAATTGAAATTTCATCCGAGGGATCCTAACTTGCTTTTATCAGTCTCCAAAGACCATTCACTCAGGTTGTGGAATATAAAAAGCGATGTGTGTATTGCCATTTTCGGAGGAGTTGAGGGTCACAGAGATGAAGTACTTAGCGCTGTAAGTATGTCTGCTTTTTCAAAAATTTTCACTTTTGAATAATTTCACAACCCAACTCTTTGAGTGAGTTGATTCTCAATAAATTTTTTCAGGATTTTGATTTGATGGGCGATAGAATAATGTCGTGTGGTATGGACCATTCATTGAAATTATGGAAACTTAATAAAGACAGCATGAAAGAGGCTATCAAACAGTCTTTCCACTGGAATCCTAATCGTAATACAAGGCCGTTTGATTGCCTGAAAGAGAATTTTCCAGATTTTTCCACAAGAGATATACATAGGTAATTTTTCATAACTTTCTCGATACATATTACTGACCCCAACCAGTTTTAACTTATTTTTACTTGCTCTTTATATTCGGTTTTTTACAAAATACTTGTTGAAAATGATGAGGTTTCTATTCAATAAATGTATTCAAATTGAATATCTAGAAAAAAAAATTGAATACTATTTAGTAGATAATTCTTGAAACTGAAAAGAAGTACCTTGACATTTCTGTTGCCACTTTATCTATGTGGCTCTTCCAGTTCAGCTTTGAGTCAATTATAATTCCAAGAAAGGAAATTTGGGTCACTGTTGTTGAATACCTTTTTGTCATTAATCACTAATTTGTCAGTTTGAAATTATCAATTTTTTTTTCGAAAAATATGCAATATTTGACTATCATTTGAAATCATTAATTTATCTTTTTTTTTTCAGGAATTATGTAGACTGTGTGAGATGGCTAGGAGATTTTCTGCTCAGCAAGTCTTGTGAAAACTGTATAGTGTGTTGGAAACCTGGCAGATTGGAAGATGAAAATCTGAAGAAAGGAGAGACGAGTTCTACAATCATTCATAGATTTGAATACAAAGAGTGCGAAATATGGTTCATCAGATTTGCAATGGATTTTTGGCAAAAGGTAAACTACCTAGTTTGTGAATAAACTTGAAGGAAGAATAAATTCAAAGTTTTTGAAGGATGATGTAAGACACTCTTGTCTCTTGAAGAGTGCAGTTTTTTAGGGTCTTCAAGGCTACTATAAAGATCGTCTCTCTTTCTAAAATAAACTTTCGTTTGTCCAATATATGAAACACCTGCGATCATATCGTCATTTTAGTGAGTGTGACATTTGATCCAGATGGAATTCTTTCTTTGTAAAAAATTTCCAGATTTCCAGTCACGTCATAAATCTGATATCGATAATTATCGTTCTATTGCAAATTTAACAAAGTTTTTTGAAATGGACATATGTAATCGAATGTATTCTGCAGTTATAGAGTACATGTCTCCATCACAATGTGGTTTTATAAGTCGAAGGTCTTCGGAATCTAATTTACTTGTTATCACATGACAACTCTTCAATACTCTTGTTTTTGAGGCAAATATTTATACTTTATGTTGATTTCTCAAAAGCTTTAGATAGGATAGATCATAATATTTTTTTTTTTGAAAAGCTGAGCTGTTTTTGGTTTTTTCAGTGATATCATCCAGTTCTTCAAATCATATGTTTCAGTTAGATTTTCACTACATATGTTGCATTTTTGTAAAACTATGTAGCGAAAATCTCAATAAAATATTAAAATCAAATCATGCTTTATTTATCTAAAGAATAGAATTCTTATTGACAAAGCTTCTAAATGTAATAGTACATAATTTCATATTATAAAATTCACAAAATACAATTCGATAAAAATCAGTTACTAAAAGTTAATTGTAATATATAGTTATTATCAAGAATGTAATATGAAATGTGATAAATAAAAAGATAAATAATAAGATGGCATTAGCTAGTAATAAATAATAATAATAATATAGTCACAGACAACTGATGTAAAGTGTAAGTGTCTTGAAGCAATATATCGTATTACATTGTTTTATTTCCTCTGGTAATTGATTATACTCATTCAATCCTTTGAAAAATATAGCTTTCATTGAACTCTTCAGCTTTGTCCTATGGATATAAAAATTATGATTCCATCAAATATTATTCCAATCTATATTTTTCTACTTCTAGACTCTAATCTAGAGCCTTTACTTTTTTATTGTTTATGAATGATTTAGTTGAAGATTTAGATACTAGAAAGTTACTATATGCAGATGATAACTTCACAGGTATGGAATAAGAGGACTAGCCAACAAATTAATATGTTCTTACTTAGAAAGCAGATATCAAGCTGTGTACAGGAATAATAAATTCAGTGAGAAACTGACTTAAAAAAAAGAATTCCTCAGGGGTCCATATTGGGACCTCTTCTATTTTCAATCTACATAAATGATTTACCTGATTTTATGACCAATATATATGACAACTTAAATGGTATAATTTATACAAAAATTTCTTAATTTGAATGAACTGAACTCCAAAATTCAATTTCTTTCAGATTTTAGCACTAGGAAACCAATGTGGGAAAGTATTTGTTTGGGACTTGGACGTACCAGATCCGGCACAAGCCAAGTGTTACACTTTGCAGCATCCCCGCTGCACCACTGCTATTCGGCAAACTTCCCTGAGCAGAAACGCCAATATTCTTATATGTGTGTGCGACGATGGTACCATCTGGCGCTGGGACAGAATTTCATAAGGACAATTTGTTATTGTATTTTTTTAATATAAACTACTAAGCAACACACTGTTTCATTAAACCACTTATTCTTTTTCTTTCGCGTCTGGAGGTGACAGCTTCTTCCTCAGCTCTTTGATAATACGAACCTTGGGTTCACTGGGGCCCACAAACTTAGAATCCGTTGTCCGTTCTAGGGGCACGTAAACTTCGAAAACCTTGAAATATTTCAGTATAGAATCTGAAAATTATCCATTATTTCTTGAAGACCACGAGATGAAAAATAACTTACTGACTTTCTCCTCGGGAAGTAAACAGTCTTCGGAAATTTTCTTTGCTGAATATTTTCTAGGGTCACCTTGATGGTTTGTGATGAATTCTAACGCAGTTGCTAGTGAAACCTTTCCCAGTGGAATTTTTTCTGACTGCTTAACACCATAAAGGAACGTTTCTACTGCTTTCCTGTCTGTGGGAAGAGGCCTTTCTGGATTTTGTTCTAGTTTGTGTGCTATATTAGGCTAAAGAAAACGCATTAGTATGCACAACATCATGAAGTAAACAGTATAATTAATAATAATAATAATTGACTTTATTCATCACAAGAGATGAAGGATATCTTATTAGTATTTACATTAATTGAAGATAATCTTATGACGAATGGGCGAAGTGTCAGCTGAAGCTATTTTTCAACTCGACAATTGAGGATAACATCATTCTTCTTTACATAGAATGCCTAATGCAATATAAATTAAAATGTGTTTGAACTTCACTCGGTAAAAACAATATCTTATTGTAATCTCTTTGTATGCCCAATTAGTGTTTGCTACTCTCTGTCAATATCAAACAGACTACTGTAATGGATAAATTACGAAACTATAAAAAGATCATCGTCAATTACTTTCTCTTTGGTAAAGAAAATTATTTTGAATCATCAATCATTTGATTATGAGTTCCTGGACAATGAAAATCATCTGCAAGAATGACATTTGAGAGGAAACTTGTACAAATAATGTCCGTTGAGTATATGTAGCAGTATTAGTTGTGCATGTAGTTATTTTTCATAATTTTTGTTGACCAAGTCTTTTATATAAATAAAAGGTTGATTATTTTACAAATTATAAATAAAAAGAGAAGGAAACACACAAAATTAAAAACACAGCAAGTACATTTAATCTGATCAGGGAATTGTGACCGACAGTCTATTCCAAAAGATCAGAGAATACTGCTGATATGCTTTTCTCTATTCTACAATTCATACTGAAGTATATTATACCTGTATTTGTTTCATTTCAACACAAATCTCACTGTCAATACAAGGATCCTTATTATTGCATCACACCAAATTTTCAAAATACATATTTCCAACTTTCTAGAATTTTCTCACGGCTAGTAACTAATCAATGGTCTAATGATACTTAGGGTGGGTTCATGCACCAGTCTTAAGACATATGTAGCAAGTTTCAAGTCATAAGAATTCATGTTTTTCATTTCTTACTACTAAAAATTTATAACTTGTCCACATAGATATTATGAGTAATAACTATGAGTAATACTACGAGTATGATTGTTGCCACTGAAAATGAATGATAAACTGCTTACAAATCTTACTTCAGACTGGATGCCTGAATCCACCATTAGTTATAGGATTAAGTTTCTTATCACTTGACTGATTCTATGTTATAAATGAATTTATAAATTTTCTTTATATACTTTACATCATGTGAGGTTACGAATATATCTTTCAAATGCTTGTCAAGTTTCTCATCCTTTTGGAGGCTTTTTGCATAAACGTCTGGGAATTCTACAAAAAAAATTAAATTCACTTTCTGAAGGCTAACCTTTTTGGTTTACTAACCTTTCATAAGCCGTTCCACATCAATTTGGTCTTTTTCATGCAGAGGTGCAGGAATAGGTTTGGGCTGGGATATCACTTTGTGAGCTCTATATTCTAAATTAAAATTTCTAAAAGGGTGCTTAACAGTGGAAAATATCTTCCCCATCTTCGTTCCTTTTTGTAAGGTTATGTAATGTAACTTGTAACTCGAACATGCATTCCCTTGTCAATAAAGTTTTCATCCGTCCAATAGCAGGGCTCCTAAGAATGAACCGTTTTATACGGATTTACTTAGAAGTAATTGGTTAATCACTTTGATCATTGAGTTTTCTTTTGTTTTCGTCAGTATCTGTCAAAATAAAACTCATTAGTTGGAAACCACGCCTCCTGCATACCTCTGCAGAAACGTCTCTAAAAATAAAAATAAAAGAACGAGAAAAAATACAGTAGTAGCCTTTTTTGTTTTAAAAAAAACATGAATATTTTCTGACAGTAGCGTACGTGCTCTTGGTTCATCAGAATTTAAATCATTTAACTCTCATTCCTTTAATATAAGTGATAAATTGTAAATGTTTTAGAAGTATATAATGTGTCAGTGATGATGGTACTCAAATTTTCAGAAGGTCTTCCGAAAGTTTCAATAACTATTGCCTCTGCATATTTTCTTGAAAAATAATCCTTTAGGATACGCTTATGGCTGTTGAATGTGACTGTATGTGGTATGCAGGGAGGCAATGATAAGATATGAAAAATTACCAGATAAGAACACGTTTTAAATAAATATTATTACTCTCAAAACTATAAAAATTAAAAATGATTAAATATAAATGTTATAACGATAAATCGTGCGGTAAATGAACTTTTTACCCGACATCTCTCAATACTCTTACATTATTTTTCTTAAAGTTGGCAGCTTCTGGAATTTGACACTGTGTAAAATGGCTGACAAGTGAACCCTAAACCTCATACGATTTTCTTTGTTTTCATTGCAGTTTTTTGTTGTTTTAGTGAGTTTCAAAATTATTAAACCTTCGGTTTTGGATCAACAAAAGCATGTATTATATGTTAAAATGTAATTTGATACTCCAGTGCCGTTAAAATAGTAATAAAAGTGATGAAAGTGCTCTTGGAATTCACCATATAGAATGAGATGGATTGACTTGACACTAAATTCTGTCATTCTGTAAGACTACAGCAGCTTCCAAATTATTTTTGCGTATTCCAGAGGTAATTATTTTACGTTGTAGTGTGAAATTCAACATATTCGGTTACATTTAGATATATTCAATGACCATGGCCTACCTGATAGTCACAATGCCAAAGAATCTGGTGTGGAATGCAGAGTGATACATGTCATTGCAATTTGGCACATTCCTACTGAAGTTCTAACACTGCCTTAAGCACTAACACCTATTTATTTCCATGTATTAAAATTTATCTGCTACTTATATAAAATCCACATTTCTCCAAATGAATTTTTCTTGTTTGACAGAAGTTTTTTTTACTATAAATAAATATCTGCAGTATACAACAAAGTTTCTTATGTCTGAAAAAACTTTTCAAGTACTACTAGTCAAGAACATAAATGATTAATAAAGACGGTACAGATTAATTCCAGAAAAATGTATTTATAAATTTATTTATTTATTTACTGCATTGCCTATTTTTACAAAATAATCAATTAATTCACACATATGTACTGTGTCAGCTAGATGTAAGGGAAAAATATAAATAAAAAGAAAGGTAAAAATAACCTGGTCAATTACTATCTTTTCAGTCTTCTTTAAATGATTCCAAAAAAGAATTGAAAAGTTCTAATTCCACATTGTNCACTCATGATGCCATTTTTTCATTATTGTACAGTCTATATAACAAATTAAATGATGGAAAGATTGCAGCTGCTGTGTTCTGTGACATATCGAAAGCGTTTGACTGTGTTAGTCATGGTACACTGCTTCGGAAACTACAACAGTATGGTATATAAGGTGTAAGTCTCAATTGGTTTGAATCTTATTTATCTGAGCTTAGTCAAATTGTGGAGTTCCACAAGGCTCAGTCCTAGGTCCACTGTTATTTCTTTTGTATATAAATGATCTTACATATATTGATATTAAAGGAGAGTTCACACTAAGAGTATAAAGATAGCCAGTAGAAACTTGAGGTCCCTGCACTATATAAGAAAATATGCAAGAAATAATGAAACTTTTATATCGTATTTCAACAAGTACAGGCGCATTTTTAAAAAAGCGATAAAGACTGCTAAACATCTTTATTATGAAGGTCGTATAGCTAACTCTACCAACATGTGCAAAGAGAGTTGGGTTATTGTGAATGAGCTCAGTGGTAAACAAAAAAGTGCATCTGTTAAAACATCTCTAAACCCAGATGAAATTAATAATTATTATTGCTCCATAGCAGAAAGTATCTCTACAAATATCCCCCCGCAAGAAGACCCTAAATGTTATATGAAGAACATATATACAAGAGATTCTTTCTTTTTAACACCAACTAATTCTGAGGAAATAATGGACATCTTAAAAAGTATAAAAAACAAAAATACCTCAGGATGGGACGATATATCTGCAAAGGTACTTCTTCATATTCCAGAGAATGCTTTGTCAACCTTGGCAGAAGCCATCAATTTTTCATTCTCGAGCGGAATATTTCCAAAATGTTTGAAGTTCGCAATCATTAACCC